TAGATGTGATCAAGTGTGCCGCTTATTTCCATATTGCACTGCATGAAGTACGTGTCGCCAAGAGAATTGTGCAGGTTTTGATGCCCATTTTTTACATGTCGACCTGAACAGAGCAGGAGCTCATATCCGTCCAACATTACCATATCTTGAGTATGAATTTGAATATTCGTTCTCGAACAGAGCTAATTACTTTCATCATAAAAGAACAAATGATCAAACCAAGGATCGTAGACTTATTAGTGTTTGATATATATTGTAGGCCCAAACAGCCTGTGACACTTGGATGGCAATCACAAGCTGATACGGTAAGTAACAGACCTAAAGTATACCATAAATACATTGCTTTTAGATCGCCTGCACTGTTCGACAATAATGCTTGAGAAAAATTCAAAATGATCAGAGCGGAAGATATTTATGTTCCTCATCAACAGCATTTTTTAACATGCTGTAATTCGTCTGTATTCGGGAATTAATACCTGTTACTTCCTTAATGTATCTATGGAATGCAGTAGAAGAAAAATGCACCATATTCTATTCTCCCCTACTCATAATGTGAGTATCGTGTGAAAGGTGTTTTAAAACTCTTTTCTCAGATGGAGGTTGGTCGTGCACAGAGGAATAGACGGATATTCGAGGCACGTTGGATTCCTCTGCTGTTCCTGCAACAACAGGGCAGCAACAGTGGCCAATTTATTCTTAGGCGCCACAACTGAGTTCTGCTGGCCATCACGGGTGAGGACAGACAAGGGTGGAGAGAATTCAGAAGTTGCGCGCCTTATGGTAGAAAAACGAGGAGAAGGTCGCGGGAGCATTTTGCAAGGTAGTTCGGTCCATAACCAGAGGATAGAGAGGCTGTGGAGAGACATGCGTAAAATGGCCACAGAGTATTTCTGACTCTTCTTCCATTTCTTAGAGAGGAACGATCTTCTGAATCCGAACGACGAACTGGATCTGGCAGCTCTAGATTATGTATTTATTCCACGGATTAATGAAAACCTAGAAAAGTTTAAGGTGTCCTGGAACAATCATAAGCTATCTACTGAAAAACAAAAGACTCCAAATCAGTTATACATTCCAGGAATGCTTAATTTGTTTGGATCAGAATATACAGCGGTAAAGGACTTTTTCGAAAGCAACGTCATAGACCCCAACCATTACGGCATAGAGGAACCGCATGTCATTGATGCAGCGTCAGAGGTGGAGGAGGCTGACGCGGTGCCTGAAACAATGCAAAACCTTTCTAACGCGAGCTTGCAGGAGTTGCAGCTACAAGTGAATCCGTTGGAGCGGGACACCAACCACGGCATCTCGCTTTACACTCGAGCAAAAGAATTCCTCTCGCTGCAAAATTAGCAATCGGTGAGCTAGAGTTTTTTTCGCAAGATGGTTGATGAGTGTGAAGCACGCAAAAAGTCTTCAAACCGGTTGTGCAGACCAAGCAATTTGGTCTACGATGTTGTTTTTGATGATGTCCTTTACCACAGTTTATTTCGATATTTCAACACATTAGGGCAGAGTGTGCAATGGTTTTACACGAGAACAAGGCAGAAATATGGACTGAAGGCGGAGCAACCAAACTTTGTTTGTGTGTGCGTTTTATTTATTTATTTATTTATTTTTTATTTTAGGCTCTACTTTTTAAGCAACGAACTTTTAAGCGCATCGTTTTTTTTCCTTTTCATGATTTGTCTTTCACGTACGCCTTTTGCGATCGATTTGATGTTATGATAATGCCGTGCAAGATATTTCGAAACCCCCAGACGCCAAAATATAAGAAAACATAATAACACTTGAATAATATATCCTTTATTCGATTTTTGACAGATAGGAAAAGTGTCCCCACGGGACTCAACAGTCTTTCTTTGTAGCAGGCCACACGACCTGAGTAGTAGATTCTTAGTGTCCTTGGGGTATTATACTGACAGAGGGTCGGTTTGAATGAATCGGCCTTTACGGAAGCCGAACTGAAGTTTAACTTAATCTTACATGGATTTGTTTCACGTTCATCAAAAAAAATTATGTCATTGTCTCGTAAGATCTCTGAAGTTATATTTTTAGTTTCCCTTTGTAGTAGGCAAGTTCACCTGTCCCTTTGACTTCTCGTGTCCCTAGAGAATTATATTGATCGCACTAAGGGCAGTTTGAATCGTCCTTTATTGAAGCCGAGCTTGATTTTAACATTCCCTGGATGGCTGTTACTGTTTGTCATGCATTCTCAATAGCGTCTGGTTACTAAGTGGCAAGTTGGTGGCATTGATGTGTTTTGATGTGCTTAAAAAAACTAAAGAAACTCTGATATAAGAAATGGATAACATTACACCGATAACTAACTATCCAAAGGACTACAAATGTCAAGTATGGTAAGGATAGCTTATATAAATATTTTTTTTTTCTCAAAAATATAGAAAATTTAATTTCCGAAAAACTCAAATCCAACCATACGTTGTCTCTCTCATCTCCTATTGCTCAGACTACTGAACAGTATGCGGCAATGCGACCAAAGAAAGCCTTCTTTATGTGCAGTAGTAGTTTTCGGTAGAAAGAGTCCGATTGATTGTGAGCCGATTTACGCTTGTTTCTCTACATGCCGTGTTAACTATTTTCAAGTCCGCTCCATGTTCCACATGCCTAGGATTAGGCTGTTACCAGTTTAAACCCATCTTACAACACGCCCGACCTACAACGTCAGTTCATTCAAAAAACGCTAGAGTATTTCCTACTAAAGCAGCTTACATACCACGCTGATTGTTTCGCGTTTACATGCTGGCGGTGGCTAGGAATGTCAGACAACTCGTCCCCTGGACAATTAGCCCCAGACGATTAGCCCCCAGTCTCTGGACGATTAGCCCCCAGTCTTAGTTTATGTAAAGGAGAAGTTACGTTCATCTGTTGGTCATTGACTTTTATGAGTTTGTGGCTTCTAAAGGAGCCCTTTTTTTTTGTGAATGTCTATCTTTATTAACATTTACTCAATTTAAATTACATGGGTTGTGCGAGGTGAGCACAGGCCTCCAGAAGCTCTTTGAATTCCTTAGGCCGTCTTCGTATTGACTCCAGAGGTCGAAGAGTCTTCTCTGCATGGTCAGGTAGCTTGACCGCTGATGTATCTTCAGCTTTTTGTCTGAAACCAGACGGATCTGCATGCTGACCAGCGTAGCTTCCCGGTGAAGTACCTGGATCAGGATGTACAAGGGCAGCTGTGATCGTCCTTTGGCGCGCCAGTTCAGTCCATTGTGCCAACCCTCTAGGTCGTTATTCGTTCTGACCGCTTCTAGGAACACGCTCCAGTTCTGTGGCAGGAAGGTCTGACTGATTATCCAGTCTTCATCTATGTAACCGCAGAAATCCTGCAAGGGTCTGACAGTTGCTTGCTGCTGGAGTCGACGGAATCTGCGTTCGATCTTGTCAGCAGGTAGGTACGATAAAGCCATCAGTTGCTTTATTAACTGGTGGGTGCCGCGGTCATTTCTGTAGGCATCCTGGAGTCCAAGCCCTTGTACCTATCAAAGAAAAGCGAAATTTAATATTTTGTCAGCTAGATGTTAAACTAGTTTCGTTTTGAACATTGTGCGAATTTGTATTTTTTATCTGTGGTTCTAGATTTCAGATAATTCGTGAAAAGCCCGAGAAATGAAATTATTTAGAGTTATAATAGTGAATAAGACATCGTTACGAGCTTTAGGAGTGAACCCTTTTAACACTTCTAACTATAGCTAGACTAAAGTCGATTTGTTTGACCAATCAAGGATTTAATAGTTTGAGATTGTACCTTTCGCCATAGGGCTCGTGTCCAGTGGAATGAACACCCTTTTCTTGAATAAAATTTCGCACCTTGCGCTGGGTTTGAAATAAGCAAACAACAATGAGTAAACGTTCGCACATTGCGCGTGGGTTTTCAATAACAAATAAATAAAAATTAGTAAAAGTTCGCACAATTCGCGTGGCGAGTTTGAAATAAACACCGATTGACATTAACAAGTAGTCGCCAATAAGTTAAAGTTTCGAAGTTTCGTCCCTGGTTTCTTTCCTTTCCTATTTAAACAACATGACGGAGAAACATTCGTAAAGTATGTAAACAGAAAGAACACAGTTCATTTTTGTAGAATATATAAACAGAAAGAACACAGTTCACTTTATAATTCGATACGCACGGCAGAGAAACGTTCATAACAAGCAAACAACAAGACAGCAAGAACGTAGTTTACTTTAAAATTTAACACGCATGACAGAGAAATGTTCGTAAAAATCAAATAACAAGAACATTGTTGATCTCATAATATATGATAGGGAAACGTTCGTAAAAAGTAAAGGGCAAGAACACAGTTTATTTCAAGGTTGGTGGGTTGGGGGCTAATAGTCCAGAGACTGGGGGCTAATCGTCCAAATACTGGGGGCTAATCGTCCAGAGACTGGGGGCTAGTCGTCTGGGGCTAATTGTCCAGGGGGCGAGTTGTCCGGATACCGTGGCTAGCGTGAGGCAAGCTTACGCGTAAACTCATGCATGCATATATATCAGGTTTCTCGGAACGTCATAAAATTCTCTTTAGTACAGCAACCAACCAACCGATAGCAAAGAAATAGTGAAAAAAATTTAGTCTTTTGATTGGACTCTTGAGCGCGGGAAAAAAAAAACAAAAATTTAAATCTATGGAATTTAGGATGCCATCAGTTCTAGCCACTCCCCTAAACCTCGTACGGGTAAAGGTAGATTTTTGAGGAATCTTTCGATTAAGTTTCAAAAGTAATCTGGGATCTGGGACTGTTTTGGGTCCGAATTCGCTTTTCGATTGTCATAAATGACACGCACACCATCGTCTCAGCCAACCCTATTCAAAACTAAATCCATTCACAAGTTGGTCGCATTTTCCCGCGTTTCCTGTGGTTTTCTTTTTTTTTTCTTTGCGTCCTCTGATTGACTCTTGTGAATTCCTTTGATTCTCTTTTGTGAAACATCAGAGCAGTCGAAATCCATGTTCTCTTTGTGTTTTAGTGATACCTTGATGCTGGAGCCAATTATTTTGCCTGACTGCGGGCACACGTTCTGCAAAACGTGTATTAGCAGGGTGCAACAAAACCCAACTACCAGCCATTGCCCCCTTTGTAAAAAGCCCATATGGAGTTCCACACAGCTGAAGACAAACTTCACCCTCAAAAAGGTGGTGGAAAAGATTGAGGTAAAATGCACAGCGTGCATCGAGAGGGGGAGCATCGAAGTGGTAGCACGACACACCTGCCCCGATGCCCTCATATCCTGTTCGAATAGGGGCTGCCAATGCAGTATCAAAAGAAAGGACGAGCCGACTCATGAGAAGGAATGTCTCTACGCAGTCATCTCATGTGAACAATGCCACCAGAATACAACCGTGGCCAACAAGGAGCTTCATCTTGAGAAGACTTTCCCAAGAGGAGAAATCCGTTGCCCTCTAAAATGCAGGAAGCGTCCGAGAAGGTGTGGTCACAAAGCGTTGTACATAATCATCTCACACTTAAAATGAAATTCTCTTTGCGTGCGTAAAAAAAAAGCATCTGGTACACCGTTCAATTTGCTCCTCCGTTCAAGATTAAAACTGATGGTGCACCGTGGCCATTTTACGCATGTCTCTTCACAGCCTCTCTATCCTCTGGTTATGGACCGAACTACCTTGAAAAATGCTCCCGCGACCTTCTCCTCGTTTTTCTACCATCTAAAAGCATTTTTAAGTTCAGCCCAGTTAGACCATACTAACATGTACGACTTTGAAAATTGTCACAGAGTTTAAGGTTTTCTTTATCTCTCCCACATGTACTCAAAGCTTACTGTTGATAATTTTTAAGAAATAATGTATAGATTTAGCCAAGCCTAAAAGCGGAGCTCGCATTTTTTTTCCTGCACGTCTCAAGGGCACAACGCTTTGCCCCGGCCAGGACTAGAACCCGGGTCATCCGACTCGGAGCCCAATACACTGACCACTGGACTACTGAACAAAGTCGTGGCGTTGGCGTGCCCGCGGTACAGTTGACCACGCATGTTAAAAGTAGCACCTTGTACGGTCGTACGGTCGTACGGTCGTACGGTCGTACATCCAAACTTTTTCGGCTTGATGGGTTACTGCTATTTTGTATGATTATGGGGCTACGCTCTGCGAGCTCCGCTATCATCTTTAAATATATAAATCTCGTGAACTTTGGAAAGCTTCCGTTCAATTTGCTCCTCCGTTCAAGATTAAAACTGATCCAAAATTAGCCCCAGAAGTTTACTTTGGGACTCAAATTGTTGAGTTGAGCTGAACAGTTGCGACTTCTTTTCCCCATTAGTAGATACCTTCATGTAGCTTTTACTTTTTGTTTACTGTTAGGATGGAGTTGCAAACCCATCTGCTTGTCTGTGAGGAGAGGCTGCGACAATGTAAAGTCAATGGATGTCATTTTGCTGGGAATTTTAAGGAGATGGAGCAACATAACAAGGAGCAAGCAGAAAAGCACGTGTCACTGCTGACAGAGAGGAGTGAAAAGCTCTTAGACGTATTACTTAGAAAGGTAAGGCCAATGGGGCCAACGGGGCCAATGCTCCTTAATGTTTTCCCCTTCCGATCTTTAATTGTAACTTAATAGCTAGCGTGCACGTCACTGCGTGTCCACATATTTTTTAACAGTTATACAAAACTTTTAACAGATTTCTGCTTTAAAAACCATCAGTCGAGACTGAAAAAGTTGACTGAGTAGATGATCCTCTTGTTTCCTTTAGAATACGATCTCACGAGGATGATATAAAAAGATACTTCTTGAGGCAGATTTACGTGGATTAGGTGGGGGGAAGGAGTAGAAGTGGTCGAAAATTTTTTTAACGCTGTTCAGCTTATAATAATCCCCCAGTGAATTTTCCTTTCACTGTACTCAGTATGACACTGATTTTATTTCTAACACAACAGGACACAAATGACTCTCGGACCAAGACAAAAATGGCACTCGGAGGTTTCTGTTGGCTCATCTTTAAAAACAAATGGCAGCAGATATGCTACAAGCCGGAAACACTGCAGAACCGATGGCCAGCGGAGTTTACGAATTTAAAGAGTACAGGTGGAGGATGCTGCTGTACGTACGTCGCACATAGTGCGGGCAGGGGAAACCTTCAGGACTGAGGTTGCCCTGGCGACACTGGAAGGAGAGGCAGAGTGAAACACCGGGTGGCTTTTTATGGAAATATTTATTGAAAGATTTTCTTTTCTTAGTAAATTTTCAGTTGTGAAATGAAGATATGACACACCGTTACCTTAAGTTGAGTGACTGTTATACGGTGTTCTCTCAGACTGATGTACATCAAAATGAAACCTTTTTCTATGACCGTCTGCATCGTAAGAGTGAATATTTCTGAACCAGTTTATTGTGAATTTCCAAATTAGCTAGGGATAAGATTTGTATGACCGACAAAGAATCCTCAGATAACGTTTAATATTTCCACGTTACTATAGCTAGGCGAGTATGACGTTAGCGAGAAGATAAAAAAAAAAAAACAGCGCTCTGTGACTGCATCATAACCATAAACAACTGTGATCCAATGAGGGTGAAGGTGTTCACATACTGAGCACGTGTGTTATCTTGATGATGATTGACGTTGCCATGCACGGACAGGGCCGGGTCACATGACGAACCACGAGATTTTTGCCTATAAAACTCTTTTATCAGCCATTTTTTATTTGTTCTGGGGCTGTTGTTTTGGTGATGGATATGCGACGTTTTTGGTTTACGATTATCCGGAGCTTTATGGTGCAAACGCTCAAAATACTTACAGACGCACACAAGTCGTATTGTTCGAGGCCATTCCACGCTAAAAGATATTATTGAGTGGTTTTTTTAGAACGGATTGAGTCGCGAACGCTTGAAAGTCAGGAAAGCCTTGTATACCTTTAAAGCCATGAAAGCCTTGTATGCCTCGTATGCTAAGTATGCCAATGTCTTAGTAGAAAAACCTACTTGTTGAAAAAAGGAAAATCTTAAATTTGAAACCAAACTGCATATACTCTATGCAATCTATTGAACAACACTACTACCGTAAGACTGAAGAACAAAACTCTAATGGATGCAGATTGCTTGTAAGGAAAGACGCCATGTTGGATTAATTTGATGCTAAGGAACGTCGCTACGATAACAGTACGAATGGTGTTAATTTCACGATCAGAAAGGTGAATCTTATGTTTGTTTTCAATGTAGTTGTATGGATATTCTTTCTTGATAAATACAGGATCCAAAATCCTGTGTTTTTTGTGGACAATGTTATTATGTTATCTATTGTTTACGAAATTGTCTTGTGGGCTAATTTCTACATAAAGTTTTTGATATGTCTTCAACAAAAGCTGCTGTGAATAGCTTGTATAAATGTAACGTACTTTAGAAAGCTGCTCAGTTACCTGTTATTGTATATGATAAGCTTAATAATAACGACGATGAAGCATTTTCAATAAATACAGTCTGTAACTGTAGATCTCGATTCGACAAATTTGTTTTTTTCCAATCGCACTCGTGCGCATGGCGTTCGTGATGGTGAGCCCATCAGAACACCAAAGAAAAGAATTACACGTATCTTGAAGAAATCTAGGAAAGTAAAACGTTTACTTCGAACCTACATCACAAAAAGCATATCGAAGTCTTCCCGAACGCATCTTTTTACAAATAAAGCTCGTGAAAAAATATATGCACATGGAATCAGATGTGAGAATAAAGGAACAACCAAATATCCCTCTTCTGCAGTCAGGAGAAAATATCCAAAGTCTAAAAAACACAAGATACTGAAAATGCAAAACCAACATCCCCATGAAATAAAAAGTCCAAAGGCAAAGCAGTTGAATGCATGGAGGTCTAATTCAGTACCAAATGTTTATAAAAAATCTGAATCACATGGTAAATCATTTTAAATCCAATCTATCTGGGGATATAGGAACAAACCCTGGTCCTGTTATTAATTCTACTAAAACAATTCAAGCTCCTTATAGTCAAGACAATGTGGCAATGTTTGGGTTAAATGCTGGTACACAGTGTGTAGCCATGTCACTTGCTTCCCTCATATATAACAAGAGGAATGGTATTGTATCCTCAATGGACTTGGTTAATATCATGAACATTGGTAATGAATTGTATTCTGGTCTATCTAGTCTATCCAGGCTATCGTATTTACTGGTAACAGTAGTTAAAATGATAATAGTGTTTAATATTAATTATCAGCTTCAATATAGTCCAAGCTATACTGGTACTATACATGGTACTTGTGAAGTACAAGATTTCAATTATTGTATGTCATTTGCTAATGCTATGCAGGCTTTGCTGGGACAAAATTATAATTCATTTCTTTTAACAATCCTTAGTACTACAGTAGGTTTTTATTGTAATGGTGATGGTAAGTTTAAGATATTTGATTCTCATGGTAGAGATTCATGGTATGCCCCATCCTCAAGGAACTTGTGTACTGTTAGAAGTTAACACCTTAAATGAGCTGATAGACTATTTTCAAGGTCTTTATCGAGATCCAACTGTTTTACTTGAACTCAAAGGAGTATATATTAATGAAAAACAATGTGATATGACAGATATTTCTGATCAACAGTTGTCAGCTGTCCCCCTTAAAGCAAATCGTGCAGATGCAGAAATTATAACCATTCGTATTCCCTTGTTATGCTGTTGTGCCACATCTTTTTATAGCATTTGTTTTTCCATTATCAAATATTGTGGGTATTGGAATTAACAGACTCTAGGTAGAATCACTGACCATGCAAACACGTTTTACAAAGAAAAACTCAATGGCGATAACCATCCACTGACTATCAACAATTTCCCAAGGACACTTCAAATATATAATGCAGATATTGATATTGCCTTTAATTTAGAGAAACAAGGAATACTACGCTGTACATCTCTTGGTAGCAAATTTTTGCTTCAGAAGTTAATCATAGATAATACTAAGGATAATACTGGGTTTTTAATGTAGATTTCAAATTATTGCTTCAGCTGTATTTTTCAGCACAATAATATAAAAAAAGCAAAAAGTGTTAAGTACTATATTATAAGATTCAGTCCTAATTGGACACTTGATATATTTGAAAAAAAGAATGACACGGATTTTCTTATTCAGTCATTAGTGGATATTACATAAAAAAAATCCAGAGTAAAGATGTAGAATATCGTATCAAATTTATATATTGTTCGACTAATTTTTCAAATCCTGAAAGACAAAGGGTAATGGCAAGACATAGGTCTCGTAGGAAAGAACTTATACATGCAAAAAGGAAAAAAAAGCTATGCACAAATGGAACTTGCCATGAAAGAAAAAGTTTTGTCTGATAAAGCAATATGATACAAGTCACTGGATCCTGCAGAAAAAGAAAAGCATTTATCTCACAGAGCTGAATAGTACAAATCACTGGATCCCGAAGGAAAATAAAAGCTTTTGTCCAAATCAGCAGATTGGTATAAATCACTTAGTTCTGAAGAAAAACAAAATCTTTCATCACATAAACTGCGGTGTTATACAAGGATTTCCGGCCCTGAGAAAAGCCGTAACAACACACGTGAAAAAATATCGTATTTCTTCACGTGTGTTGATATAGCCAATCAGCTGCTTACACGTTACTCGCCATTGGCGCCACTCGGTCAGGTTGATGAATGAACGGCAAAGCCTTCACGATTCTCAATACAAGTTGAATTATGGCGGCTAAAAATTCTCAATACGTTCTCGAATTATGGCGGCTAAAACACAAAAAAATCCGTATTTTTTTGCTGACAGACAATGAGGTTCAAACTTTCCTAGAAAGGAAAGAAAACCAATATACTAAAAGAAAAGCCGAAAGTTGCGTAGTCAGTGGCTTTAATGTTAGCATTTCTCTCGTCTGAGAATGAAAATCGACAACTGGAAGATTTGCCACTAGCCGAATTTGGTCGTTTACCTGGAAGACTTCTTCTGTCGGTAAGGACAAAGTCAATAAATGAGAATTTTTTAAATTGAAAATTACGGCCATTGTTGTTTTTGTAATCATGATTCAACGCATTTTTCCATCTTAAGAGTCAGCGCCAACGCACTCTACGATTGCTATTCGAGGATCGTCGATTCATTTATTTACATTCATTAATGAAGTCGGCTTTTCTTCCCAGTAAAGGGCTATTGTGTTTATATGATACACAAAATACACCTTTTGCTGTTCATTTACGCAAAATGTACATTCATTAACGTCAACAGTTGAAACTATACGGCAAATATACATTCATTAGCACTTCCATGAAATTCATGAACGCGAACGAACTTTCAATAACGCTATTTGCATATGTATTAACATTCAATAGCATCAACGGATGAACAATTGCACCTTTGAACAATCAAACAGAACAAATATACTTTCAATCTCGCGTAATGATTGATCATTAACACCAATAGAAAATCAATTGCATTGTATGACAATCAATTGCGTATTAGAGACATTCAATAATACAATTTGCATAGAGACGTACATTCAATTGCAACTTCATACAATCGTTTATTCGATATGGTCAATCATTAACGTGAACTGACAAACATGTGTGTAGTAATAACAATCAACTAGGGGAAAAAGAAATTTCAAAATTGTTCGATTACAGTGTACTGTAATGTAATGTTTTGTAATTATCCTTCAATTTCTTTATTATTTAAACATCTTGGAATGTACGTTTGCATAAATCTGTACCACTGTCCACATTTAGCAGCCGTGATGGTGCCTATGTTTCTCTGCTGGGCCTGAAGTAGCAATTGAGTGCGGAAGTTGCCTAACGCGATTCCTTGTCGTCTTGCCTCTGTTCTGTTGTTCATCTGTTATTCATCTGTTATTGCTTCTCTGGACGGCTTATGTCCGCTTTTATGGCTGCTTTTAAGGCACTTATTGCTTGCTCTACAATGTTAAGAAACGGGCTGTATGGTGGTAGCTTTTTAAGCTCAGAATTAGGACCAGGAATGGCAGGATTGTTGTGGGCTGGTGCACCGTCATAAATGAAAATCACATGTTCATTTGAGTCGAGATTTAGCCTTGTCTGTGACAGAAAATCTTTAAATCTTTGTCCATTCATTCCACCGAGAAATGCCGAGTGAAAAACGAGTCCATTGGTGGGTGAAATTGCCAGTGCTATAGTAACATTTCTTCCTCGCTGACCACATACTTGTCGATATGCCCTCTCTCCCATCCTTGCTCGTCCGTGACTTCTTGCCGTCCAAATATTGTACCCACACTCGTCTACGAAAATACTGATTCACTACAGCATGGCGCATGAACCAGTTGGCATAGTCGACTCTTTTTTGCAGGACATCAGGGCGGTTTCGTTCAACTGGGAGTGGCCTTGCCAATTTCACACGATACAACATACCTTAAAGTGTTCTTGCTACTGTGCGGTCATGGATTGTTGGTTTTCTTGGAAGACGCTGTCTCAATTCTTGATTTATCTGTGCTAGTGTCAGTTGATGCTATTGAATGTTAATACATATGCAAATAGCGTTATTGAAAGTTCGTTCGCGTTCATGAATTTCATTGAAGTGCTAATGAATGTATATTTCCCTTATAGTTTCAACTGTTGAAGTAAATGAATGTACATTTTGCGTAAATGAACAGCAAAAAAACCTAATGCAAGAAGGGTTCAAATCAACGTGTCTTATATGACAGTTCTGTGCTCAGATATTGATATTGATCGTTGTTCCTTACATTCAGGGGTTCAAATCAACGTGTCTTACATAACAGATCTGTGCCCTGATGTTGATATAGATTGTTGTTCCTTGCATTCAGGGGTTCAAATCAACGTGTCTTACATGACAGGTCTGTGCCCAGATGTTGATATTGATTGTTGTTCCTTGCATTCAGAGGTTCAAATCAACGTGTCTTACATGACAGTTCTGTGCTCAGATATTGATATTGATAGTTGTTCCTTACATTCAGGGGTTCAAATCAACGTGTCTTACATAACAGATCTGTGCCCTGATGTTGATATAGATTGTTGTTCCTTGCATTCAGGGGTTCAAATCAACGTGTCTTACATGACAGGTCTGTGCCCAGATGTTGATATTGATTGTTGTTCCTTGCATTCAGAGGTTCAAATCAACGTGTCTTACATGACAGTTCTGTGCTCAGATATTGATATTGATAGTTGTTCCTTACATTCAGGGGTTCAAATCAACGTGTCTTGCATAACAGATCTGTGCCCAGATGTTGATAAAGATCGTAACATCTTACGATCAGAGGTCTGTGTTGATCGTAAATTTTTAAACCTATTGCGTATCCTGTGCTCAGATGTTGATATTGACCTTAGAATGTCACATCGATGATAAAACCATGTCCTAATTTTCATATCGATCGTAAAATCTTACATCTAGGGGTCTGCGCGCAGATGTCGATATCGATCATGAATGTTTTCGTTACATTCAGGGGTCTTAGATTCGTATCTAACATTTATTGGTCTTTACTCTTACCTCTGAAGAGTCGCTATGTAACAGTGACGAGTTATATAAGGGGGGATTGGTTGAATTGTACAGTAGCTTTAAGTCAGGGTTTGGTTCCAGCTAATGATATTCATCCGAAGTTTTAGGTTGCAAATCAAGTCCTCGCTAGCTTAGAAATATAGCTTCGATAATGTTTTTCCTTCTATTCCAGTATTCCAAGGCCTCTTTCTTCATCAGATGTCAAATCGTGCTCTTTTGCAAACTCGGTGATGAATTGGGACAGTTCACTTTCGAACTCACTTGCTTTGTTCCTAAGGACAGAAAGCGAGCTCACTTAGTACTTCTGATGCTGCACACTCCCTATGCTTCTGTTTACAAACGATACTCCCATTTCTTAAGATGACGAGGTTGTCTGTGAAGGGGGGTAGAGGGTAATCTTCAATCCCTACTATCTCCTTCCCCTTGACAAAGAAAATATTTCCTAAGATGAAAGGGTGGTTTATGAAAGGGGCAAGGGGTAATTCTCACCCCCACCCCTTCCCCCCTTTTTCCTTTAAATATTCCTAAATTTTTAGTGGTAGCCCATTCAAAAAAAATTAGTCCACATTTTTAAAGACAAACGAAACTTTTTTTTACGCTGTCTGCGTTCTAGAAAGACTATTCAAAATATAAGTTAGGAAAGAGATCGTTAACGTGCTACAAAGTGGACACTGGGATGGATGATATACATTGTTCAAGCCCACCTAAATCCAAGATGGCGTCCAGTTATTGATCGAGATGCATGTGTTGCGTTTTGGAAACAAACTTAAACGAGGAAGTTTGCCGCGGATTTAGCTTTGCAAATCTTTTTTTTTTAATTCACTACATCTCTAGATATGGTTATAATGAAGCATTCTAGTCGCCAATTTGGCGACTAATTTTCTGGATTTTAGTCGCATTGGCGCCTGTATTAGGCGCAATTTCACACCCTGCCCCTTCCTTTCATTTTCACAGAATCTTTCCTTGGAAATGCTAGTCTAAGAAGCCGTGGGTAATCTCTTATCCCTGCCACCTTGTTCCCTTCAGCGAGAGAGAATATCAACCCAATGTGAAGAGGGAGGTAATGATACATTTGGGTTCAGAAGAAAATCATTTTATACCACCCCACCCCCATTTCACTGTTGATTTCCCCCCCCTTCCCTCCCTAAACCTCAGTTTCTGCTACAGCTGCTGTCATTAATTAATTGCCAATACGTAGGACAGAATTACCCTAATATTCTCGCATCGTTTTTGATTTTCTCAAGTCTTGTTATTTCTTTATCCAGTTTGATGATGTTTTCTTTCAAATTTTCCATTTCTATCTGAACCAGAGACTCAAGCTTCGTGAAGGTTGACGTCAGTTCCCTGAAATAAAATAAAATAAAATGTTTCTTTATCTGAAGTACACAATAACAAGTTTTCAAAACAATCGGGTATTTGGCATCGTTATATATCTTATCGCCGAGCCGTTAAAATACCGCGAGATCAAACGCGAACAAGCCGACACACGCACTGTAACAAGATTATATAGCTAAGACAGGAATGAACTTGTGGAAAGTCGGTCCAATATTTGAGTTTAAGTCGATAACACCACATATTATAAACAAGAGGAATTAATACGCAGTAATCCTAAAAACAAGATCAAAGTAGTAAACAACAAGTATGAGGAATTATTCAGCACGTGATATTCAGTTAAACCAAAGGTAATTGAGGTATAAAAGTTCCTCTGCAGAATCAATCCGTTGTCAGGCTGCACAGTCCATTTAATTAACACTTTTAACAACAAATAGCAGTGTTTTCTTGGCATAGAAATAATAGCATGGCAGAGGTAAAGACACTTACGGCTCTGCATGCTTAGAATAGCATACCGAATGGTTGCACAATCAAACAGCCATCGACGATTCTAGAATCGTTACATCCAATTAATATTTCCAGCCTTTCACCAAATGGCACCGTGAAAAAAAATGACACCTTATCTGATTAGCCAGACCACGAGGCACAAATTAAAATAAAACCAACCACAAGGCTTTGTGGGTTAAAGGGAATCTAACTAACAATCACATCAAAGACGCTTCAAAAATCACATGGCAGCCAAACTTACTGATGCACTTGTGTACTGCAGTTGGCGCTGATGAAACCGACTACTAATTGAAGCTCCTCTGTGGCGTAATCCACAAACTGTCGTTTGAAAGCTTTCTCTCTAGCACCCTTGGTCCAGCGTACCCTCTCAATCACATACACTCCACTGTATAAACCACCACACAAAGCCATAATCCACCATCCTACAGTCTCCCAAATCTGCGATTGGAGAAACACGAATTGGAATGGACGCTTCGTATATGCATACATACCACTGTAATGTTGCATAGAAACTCAAATCACCTTTTTTGAGAGATGCGACTATGTCTTTACAGCGGTCAAACGTATACGCATGTGCGAAAGTTGTCATGACTGGTGCGCTTTGAGGCTGTTGTTGTTGTTTTTCAAAAGCATTTTCTTTTGATAAAGCTCAAAACAGTTCGGTGAATCAACAGGATACCAGGACTTGAAAAAGCTCAGTGTTAGAAAAGTCTCGCGCTTTCCTTTTCCCTGCTTTTGTTTCCTTTGGCAGATTTCTATAATCGTATCGATTCTCTTTCGCTTACTTTGCAAGACAGTAGTTATTTCTTATGTTTTCATTTGAAATTTTACGCGGGAAATTGAAGCAGGCCAGCTAGACGTTTGACCGCCGTGTTTTATGCCTGAGGTTCTCTAAATCAATAAAACATCTGAACCCTTACCAGTCCTCCCACTATGACTAACAGCGTAGCAGTGAGTATCGTTAGTGAAGCTAGCCCTTGCTCGACAGCTGATGCTGGTGCTTCACGAAAATCAGTGTACAGACGGGTCACCATCGGTGCGAACTTCGCTTGAAAATCAAGACTACAATAAACAAACACAATAAAGAAATTAGTAACAAGATCAAAGACTATATCGGCCGCTATGATTGATGTGTTGACTTTCTATGGAAGAGCTCCCGAGGACAAGCACAATGATATAGCAATGATTACTTTATACCAACTGAACACGAACGCAAATGCGCTGGTTAGCAATATGGCTGCCCCTGATGCTCTTCTGCGTGGTCACAGATATGAACCCGCTACGGGTCCCCTAGGTGCGAACATTTCGGCCTCTCGATTCAAGTTGCATTTTAGAAGTTCGGAAATTTGATTTAAGGCAGAAGCCCATTACTTGAGTAATGGGCTTTCGGCATGAATGAGCTAAAAAACGAATGTTTACTCCTTTACCCTCTTGGTTGTCTGCTTGCTGGTTTCCTAAAGCCAGTAGTTCTGATGTCTTATTATACCGAGTCAGTAGATATTTAACCTTTGACCGGCATCTAATTTCTCCTTACAATATCACCCCAGACTCACACATTCAGGTCACGTGGATTAAGGAGATGAACGCCAACTAAAGAAGCTCCTGATTGCTTCACAAATTCTCCTTGTCAGCACTTTAGGAAATGTGTAGAGAACAGTATAGAGAATATGCATACTGATGATTAGGGTTAATGGGTTATGGAACACAATACTCACACTGGAGTGCTGAGCTCAAGAGATACCTCTGGTGTTGCAGGCGGAAGAAGACTACGAAGGCGATCTGGAAAAAAGACAATATGGTCATTTGTTATCACCAAGGGGGAGGGAGAGGGGGTGGGGGTGGGGGTGGGGTTTGGAGGATGTCGTTCGTGTCACGATAAAATTTACCAGATCCCCTCATAAGGTCCTGAAAGATTCTTATGATTCCTCCCCCCCTCGTTGGTAGTAAATTGATGTTGGCAGTCAATTTTCTACAGTCCCACTTTGCACTCTGTCGGTGACGACTGACCCCACTCCTTTCCCTTCCTGAAAACAACGTGATCATTCCATAAATCCCCCCCCCCACCAAAATTAATAACTAGTCCCTTTGGACTCATGTCTCTTTAATGTTAGCTTTTTTTCCCCCCCCCCCACTTTTTCCCCCCTACCACGTGAGTGACTTCGTGATGTACCATTAGTTATTACCCTTCCTCAGTTATTTTGCTACCCTGGTGCATATCCTCCGTAACAAGCATTTTTGTACGAAAGAAGAACTATTTAATATCCTAACCGCGGGATATGTGGCGGGATGAGAGTAAAAGGGTTGTATAATGGGGGTGAGGTGGGGTGGAGAGGAAGGAAAGCTCGCAAGCGAATCCTGGCTTTTGAATAGTCTGTTTGCCCAAAAATGCCACTTCTGATTGGTGCAACGTGATTGGTTGATTTTTTTTTGCTAACGTACTCATGCATATTCACACATCATTCATGTAACATAGGGTAGTTCCTGAACACTGACCTGCCTTTTGTTTTAGTGCCCCACAAGTCACTTGAGCTTGAAAATTTGAACAGCGATCCGTCTTCCTCCTTTCCAAGCCACTCTTAATGTGATTGTACAGCTCCTGTTGACATAATCAGCGATATAAGTTTAAATTTCAAATTCTTCTTCCATTGCAGCTGTTGCTCGTGAAATTGTCTATACAATTAATTTTCACCTCTTTGTATGTCTCAAGCGACCCATTAAAAGTTAGGAATGGATGATCAAACTGATTCACCAGCAAGGCCAATCCATCAATCTCTTCTTTCATAGCCGCTTTCACCTAAAGAAAGTAAAACATTTTGTTGAGTAAGCTACATCAGACTTTCTCACTGAGCTTTGAGTTAATGAGAATCGATACACAGGACAACGTGCAACATATGTGGCTAATTGGCCAGCGCATTGAAATACAGGTCAAGAGGCCTGGGTTTGAGCAACGGGTGGGTCAATGTGTGGTGTTCTTGAACAAGGCACCTAACTCTGACAGTCTCTCTCTTTAACTAAGGGCCTTTCCCCACTAGCGAAAAAGTTGCTTATTTGGAGAAATTTTCTCTCATCACCAACATTTTACGATTGCCGATGGGTTGTTGTGACTAAAATTTTGTCCCAGGTAAAAAGTGGACAAAATCGACCAAATAAACAAAACCGTGATAAACTTGTCGATCATTTGTCGTAAAAGCTACGACCAGCGTGTAATTGAATTGAAATCAATTAACTAGAAAGGCAAAAATTGTCTTTTGTTGCAAAACTCAGGGATTGTAAAATTTAACAAGACTTAGAATAAATCCTGGAAATTGGAGGTGGAATCCTTTGGCAACTATGCTGGCCGGTCTTATGAACAGATCAGGTGCTGACGGAATTTGACGGCTTTGAAATTTGACAAAATTTGTCCTTTGATTTTGTTGGGGCAATTCAATTTGAATCCGCTCGGGCGGAAAGGCCCTAAGAGTAAAAATGGATACAAACAAGGGATCGGGAAAACATGAAGAACTGCTGTCAGGGTGGGGGACGGGTAGCATGGGATGGACTGGCTTCCCATTTCAGGGGGGAGTAGCCATACTCTGGGTGCAGAAATTGGGAAAAGCTCTGACAGTTTAGTTCTGTAAGGTTGTGTTCTGATTTGTGTTCATCCTTACTACTATAAGTCATCATACTTATTACAAATTAGGTGCATATCTGTGTGTACTCAGGCACTACAGCAGTAAAATAAAGGCAAACTCTAGATAAGTTTTTACCAATCACTTCAAAGTAAATTTGATATGCATATCAAAGGCATCTGACAAGCATTTGAGAAGCGTGTCAATAAAGTTATCCATTTGATTACATACTTTTTGATCTGCCTGTTCTGAAACCTTACACTGTGAAAAACTTGAAATTACCGTGATTCGAGACTAAATAAACAACAAGTATTAACCTTATGCCTCTTAAAGAGCATTTGAGTAGTTATTTTATTACCTGATCCTCAACTTCAGAAGTGATTTTCTCGATCCAGCATTTGAAGTCATGTTTACAGCTTCTAAGCTGTTCCTTCACGTATCCCAGTCTAATCTTTTTCTCCATCTTGGTTTTCTCCAGTTTAGATCTGAGGAAAATAGACCATATGAACTCAGCAAAACCAACAAATCACTGAAATCACTATTGAGAGGCAAAAGAAGAAAATTATCTGTCTCTTTCTCACCTTTGCTGAGATGCAGAATCCACTATTTTTCCCATACGAACCTCTACCATGTTTGCAATTTTCAACCCACTGAGTGCATGAGATTCAAACTTGGTTTGTATGGCTGACTTAGAAATACACTCCTATAAAATCAAGCATGTAAAGCCTCTATTGCAAAGTCAGAACAATTAATTGACACAAACTCTAGACAAGCAAATGTGTTTAACTTTAAATGGAAAAAGGTACATTAATTTACATAAACATCGTGACTCTGTGGTAGCAATCTTTCATTAGCTCTTACAAATGATTTAACACACAACAGACCCTGGGGTTTCAATAACCTTTTCCATAAGCAGCTGCCAATGGTGTTTAAAGTGACAGTTCCTGGAGAAAAGGGGTCAGAAGGCCCCTTTCCATGCTAAACAGATATCAGTTAAAGGTCTTTAAGGCGGCAGTAAACTACCTGTGACTAGCTTTTATGGAAAACCCCCTGCATAGCTATATCTGAAGTTACCATTAGCAATTCTATACTCCTTGAATAACAATACCATTAAATTCCACATCGCAATCATCAAAATATTTTTGCCACCTTTTAGTTCATAGGGGGATCTACCGACAGACAAGAGGCTAGCTGAAAACTCTATTGGATTGTACAAAAACTCGTGATAATACCCTCCTTCTACTACGGTCGCGGTCGACATCGGAAAAAAATTTTGCGGTTCATCTTGTACGCCATTTCTTTTTGCCACACGAATTGGATGGACGAAATGTTAGGGGGGTTGGAAAAAAGCTTCCGCTTGATCCACTTAAAATGGAAATTATAAGACAGATAATCTTTGAATTTTTCCGTTAACGTTATGCGGGTATCAGCGGCTATCCCGAGGGGTCGACCTCCAGGCACCCAGGGGCATTTGTCACAGCTGCCGTGACAAATACATGCTAAAGCCCCTCGGGTAGGGCAAAAAATTGGGACAAATACCCCCACCCCTGGAGCAATCTGGGCAACATATAGTCGGTGTTGCCTGTTCCTCGATACAAAAGTACGAGTGACCATGGTTTACTGAAGCCACATCAGCACTAAAATCCACACAAGTCTCTATGGAGTCCTCAAATTCGAGCTTTCTGGGGCAAACTTTCTTGGCTTGCGGTTGTTCATCACACTATCTCTTCCTATCGGCAAGACGCTTCGAATGCGAACTAACCGTATGAAATTGAAATCTCGATGTCGCTTTCCTTAAAATGCAATGAACAGATTCTTGGATCGCTCGCTTACAGAAAACCTCCCACTTCTTACGCTCATTGGGCCTTGTAGGAAAGCAAAAATAACAGCAGATTACGTGCAAATCCCGTGGGTATGGCCCCGGGGTATTTTGCCAAAAACGCAAAAGCGCTCTAATGCCCCGCGTGCGGGGCATGCCTTTGCTACAAATCCCCTGCTAAGCCCGTGGGTTGCCCTTGGGTTGCCCGGGGGTCGACCCCTCGGGATGGCCGCTGATACCCGCATTAACGTAACAAGAACAGTCATGGCGCGATTGTCGTGAAGCTGTAGACGGATACTTACGCAATAGTAAGATTGCCGAACAGGCACGCGTAAAGTAATATATTGAAATACTGCTGTTTGTTTTCGAAATTTTTACCGTTTCCATTTTATTTTGTTTAATATCATACAGTAAAGTAAGCTTTGTTGTGTGAATAAAATATTCGGGTTGATGTCAAATTTTAGACTTTGTTTGAAAGATCTTGACATTACTGACAGACGCTTGCATAATATGATAATGAACGGTAGTCTGTCGAAGCGTTTTCGGTTTTTAGCTGAATTTTCGTCTTTGACATTGTGACTTAGACCTTTCATCGTTGTTATATGACGCGCTCCGCAATCAAACGAATCATCACGAGCGATGCGAAATGAAACTGTTTACCCTCCGGTGAGTAAACACTAAAGCGGGCGCCGATTGCAATGAATAAAACAGAACACCATTCTCATTCTTAAAGAGTATATTTTCCTTCTGATCCTCGTCGAAGATGATCGAGGTAGGTTTGAAGTTCCGAAGAAATCATCACCTGCGATACAAACACCAAATTGTTTACATTCCACGACGTAAACATCTTAGGGAGTGTTGATTGCCATGAATAAATTGAGGAGCTCATTAGTGGGTATTTGTTTCGTTACTCGCTCAATGAAACTCGTGTTTCGATGCCTTGAGTAAGTGACATTTTCCTTCCCAGCTGATTCATCAACAACTCAAATCAAGCAAATCCACTGCTACAGCTCTTCATTCCAAAAAATTCGCGAGGCGACGCGACATGCGTGAGTGTAACATGATAGCTATCTTTCATTATGGAAATTTTCTGTTGTCTACTCGCCGCTTTTTCAAACCTAAAAGTCAGTTGTTTCACACAACAATGAAATAAAAAGGAAATTTAAAGCACTGAATAACAAAGGCACATGAATCGCGCATTTTTTTCGACCGTGCGCGCAAATAATCGCATATACGCGTCTGACTACCCTGCGTCTGAACGTATGAAATTCTTCTGCGTCGTTAGCGTATACGCGAGCGGTACTGTAAGCCTGAACAGCAGCTACAATACCTCAAATTTGCGTTCAAAGTTCTCAAACTCCAACTGTCTTGCACGAAATCCCTCAAAATGAATGGCACCACCTGAAAAACAACAAGGCAATGCTAGTTACTCTATTTAAATTTAAAATCTTATTTGTTGACAGTTTGTGTTTATGCTGTTTCAAGAGAAGGCACTTCTTGTTCAGCCACATACCTTCTTTAGGCATTCCTTGGTGTTCCAGCATTCTGGTATTTAACGTCTGGGTAAAACAGAAACAGGAAAAGAAAGTGGGAAAATAAATAAATAAACTAAGAGGTGTGACCTGTGTTATATTTCTCTTTGGATAATTGTAACAAAAACTTGAAGACTTGTTCAAAGTTATTTGCAATTGGTCCTTATAAACCCTAATATATAATATCCAGCAGCTTACCTCTTTAGCTGAGACAAAAAACACTCTGTCTTCTGCCTGTCCTTTGTCTACACACTGGAGATCATCAACAAGAAAACTGATGCTTCTACTGAGATGCTGATCTTTCACCTTAAGGAAACAGGTAAAAAATTTAAAAAAAATTACACTTCATTACCATCATCTAAAAGTGGGGGGGGGGGGGAGGGGGTTGTTGTCCAGGGGGGAGTGGGATAAATGGTTTGTTGTCCCACCCATAATTATACCTGAATTCTGAATCCTTCCCCTCTATCTAAGCACCCCTCACCTCCCCACCAGGAATCTATCTGTACCTTTTTTTTTCCCAGCAACAATTTCCTATGAAGAGAGCATATGAGATAAAAGGCAACTCCAATGCTGTGTTTTGATTCCATTTTTGACATCCTTTGATTTCAAATTTGAATGGGTATCAAGAAAAAATAAGTGCTTACTTACCAGCTTCATTGTGTCGGGTTCTGATGCAGATGCGTCCCATCTGTTATATAGAATGAAGATGTTTGGTCTTGAAAAACGCTGATTTACTTTGCGAAAAAAGTTTTTCTCCTGCAAATGACAAGGGTACCAAATGAGAAACCACACAAGCATGGGAAGGTTCAATCAATGAATGCTACCACACTGGATAAATTTCTCCTGTAATAAGTCACATTTTAAAGCAACTGAAATTTTAAGAAAAATTCAATCAAATTTAAAGTTTGTATGTGTTGTATCTTTAATTTACAAATGGCACATGAATAGTCATGAACATACCGCAAGCGTAAGCGTTGACTCAGCATTAGCAACCAGGACAAACACATCAGCATCCAAACAGTGCTTATCTATCCACAGATCAAGATCAGGGCTCATATCTATACCAGGACTAAAATAACAGTTGTCTGTGACTATTTACAAAGCATTTTTAGGCTACTTCTTGGTGTAGAAGACACAGGATATGTCACAATAGAGCAATGCCTAATTAACCTATTGTTTTCAGTGTTTTCTTGTTTTTCTGTCTTTTTGTTCTTCTTAAACCTTCACACCCTGACATAAGTATGCATATTCTCTGTACTGTTCTCTATACATTACCTAAAGTGTAGAAAAATACAATTTGCCAAACAGTCCTGAGCTTCATTGGTTGGTGATCATTTCTTTTATTCTTGTGATCTTAATGTGTAATTCAGGGGTGAAATTTTAAGGAGAAATTCAATTCTTAGGGCTCAAAAGGTTAATTATACAGTACATTTCATCACTTTAAATTGCTTACCTATCCACCAAAACAACATCTTCTGACAACAGTTTACATCTGAGGTTCAAAAAATACATTTTTAACAAAAATGAAACTATAACAAGTGATAACAATGTACAGGCAAAACTTTATTGTAATGATACAAACCCTCTGATGTAATGTGAAATGCATTATCTAGAACGTGTACTGTGTTTGGAAAGTTTTTTACTTCTTTTAAAGGCACAAGAGGCAGTCTATCCAAGAGCTTTCCAACACTAGAAGTACATTTCCTTTGTTTATAAGACACTCATTGAAAAACCAATGACTCAGCTTTAAACTTTATTGTATGTATATTAAACAATTACTGAAGGAAGTTGAGCATGATAACAACCCATGAATAAAGTTTGCAAGGTTGAACTGTAAATGCACTTTGATTGACAAGGACAACAGTTACCTGTGAGTACATGTGAATGATATAAAAATTACTAAACAAAATCAAACCTGGACTTTGGCCAGAACACTTGAAAAATACTGCCTGGATCAAGCTTTTTGTTGCACAAGGAATGGACAAGTCGATCTAATGACTGTTTTGATACCAAAAAGAAAAGTATATCAAGGTAATTAACTATTCATTAACTTATACAGGGCATATGTAAATTGGAGTATTATTTAATCTCTTTCATAAGTGTTTCTCTGCTTTAAGATAAATTAAGTACCAGTGATATTGTCTAAATTAATGTCAAACCAAAATTAATTGTTAAATCTTACAAACACCAGAGAAATAAAGCTAGTTTATAATTAAATGGTATGGGTAATTGATCAAGGTTTAGGCCTTTACCTGTTGCCAGGCCATAAAAATCAAATTCAAGTTATTAACCATAAATCATATTTATGGTTACAAGACTAGGTGACAGTTTGACAGAGAAAAATCATGTTTTCTTAACCAACTACCTGTCAGTCTTGAAGTATGGGTATTATGAAAAGTTGACACACACAGATTAATACACCATCCTGATGCTTATAAACACCAGGTTCACTAGGCCAAGTTTGAAATAAATGCACTAGTTACTTAATCAAGAAAATGTGGTACGCATAATTATTATAAAGGAGACTTGCAACAATTTCCAATCAAGAAAATGTAGTACAGTCGAACCTCGATTATCCTGACTCAGTGGGACTAGGATAAATAGTCCGGATAATCGAGAGTCCGGATAATCAAAAATATGAATATTAATGTGACAATTGAGTTATGATCATCTCGTGTGTTTACATAACCCACGCTCATCGAACTGATCAAGCATGACATTCCCTTAGCAATAAAACAATGCTGAACCAATCAAAATTCAGCTGAACACATTAGAATGCTTCTTGTCTCTTTTTGTCTCCGAGCACTTGATCTTTTGAAAGTAGAGCGTGTAATGCGCTGTTTTAAACACAAATTTCCTGACTTTTAACATAATTTCTGAATTTTTTTACCTCCTAAAGTTTTTAACATCTAAGATCATTAATATTCATGAAAAAAACGGGACCAGAGAAAAAGCCCGGATAATCGAAAAGTCTGAATAATTGAGGTTCAACTGAACATATAATTATTACAAAAGAGAAATTTACAATACTTTTTAAGAAGACATACCTTCACATTCTTTTTGTCAGTACTCCCTGGAACCAAGATATATGGATCTGGTTTATCTAAACCATGTACACTGAGAAAGCAATTTTTAGTATGGCAAATTCCCATTGGTAAGATCTCATCTTGTAGCATGGCGTTTAGTGTGGTGCTCTTTCCATTGCTGTTTTGTCCAAAGAATGCCACCTTCATCTGATTCCTTGATAGTACCTCTAAGATGTTTGAAATCTGAGCCTCATAGCCTGCCACCTGTGCGAGAGGAATGCAGTAATCAGTTCTAACTTAATGAGAATTAATTACATCAAAAAATTGACAGTGATAGTGCAGGGCAGCTTTGTAGTAATAGCAAAATAATTTTTTAAAAAAATATTAAAAAACAACCACAAGGTTATATGATCTACACCGGTTTAACAATATTTAATTTACCAATTCAATAATATCATGGAGCTTGAACACGACATTCGACAATCTCACCTCGCTTGAGAATTCCTTGGTTTCCTTTTCATTTTCATCAGCTATTCTAGTATCAGCTGAGAATTTGTTACAGTCTTCAAGATACTTCCTGAGGTCTCTGAATGTAGCGTTTATCTTCTGCTTCGCTTTTACGAAACAATACTGAGGGTACTTTTCATCCACTCCGATATATTGTAAAGATTTAGCCCGCTTAAACTGAGACAATTAATTCCTCATGTTCACCAGGAGATGTATATTGCTGACTACTTTTAGATTTTGAACTTGAAAAACTAGCTTTACAGAGTTTAACGGATGCTAAGCCCTTTTCTTCTTCAAGGTTATATGAACTACACAGGTTTGACAATATTTAATTTGCCAATTCTCATCAATATCATGGAGCTTGAACACGACATTCGACAATCTTACCTCGCTTGAGAATTTCTTGATGTCTTCTTCATTTTCATCAGCTATTCTAGTATCTGCTGAGAATTTTTTACAGTCTTCAAGATGCCTCAAGAGGGCTCTGAATTTAGCTTTTAACTGTTGCTTCGCCGTTGCGAAACAATGCGAAAGGTACCCTTCATTCACTTCGATATCTTGTAAAGATTCAGCCCGCTTAAACTGAGACAATGAATTCCTCATGTTCACCAGAAGACGCACACTAAAGAGACGACCTTTAGATTTTGGACATGAAAGGACAATTCCACAGAGTTTAACGGATGCTAAGCCCTTTTCTTCCCAGTGTTGAAGATTACCTGCGTAGGATCTGTGCGCGTTGCATTGTGGTAGGCCCCTTTTCAATATGGCGGCAATGAGAGTACCAAAGCAGTTACGTCCGCTTCCATGGCAACCAAATTTCCTGTTCTAAACAAACGCTCGTGAAACAAGATGGCGGTGCTGACAATTGCATCTCTACTTTCTTTCTTCAAAAATGAGAATAAATCCGTTTCACGAGGTGAAAATCACTTCAAATCTAACCATGTGGAAAGCTTTAGTGCAAGTCAAGGTGTTTTGAAGGGACAGGTTCACGCTAGTATGAAAAAAAAAGTGTATAATGTGACGGTAAGTGAAATGCGGTAAATGACCACCATTGAAATGAAAGCTTATAGAAAAATACTGTTAAACTTTGTTTATTATAATTTTCTTTTTAGATATACCTTGACCAAAACAATGCAATTAAATCGAGCGAGTGCGAGTGTCCGCGTAGAGCTTATAAATGTAGCCATGCTGCAGCTCTGTTCATCTATGGAATTTATAACTTGAGTCGGACTGATGTTGAGTGTTCAAAAACGGAATGCACCTGATATTTCTCGGAAATCTATTTCTGAAATGTTTCCTCCAACCAAGCCAGGATATACAGCCTTACTCTGACAACCAAATCAAGGCGATCGAGAAGCGCTGTATTCAGAATTGCGAGCGTATGGAGAGTTCACTGGCCTATGCTGGCTGTTAAGCCCAGAGCCCAAAACAACTGGGGGATCTACCTGTCTCAACAGTGGAAGAGCTAATTTTTTCCGAGGAATTTCTCACTCTATCTACTGCTGCTGAACAACTAGAGTTTATCAGACGAAAATTAAAGGTTGAGAGAGAAATTGTAAATCAAATCAGCTCTTTAACTGTCGGTCAGAGAAACAATCCCTCCTGGCATTTAGTGAGGAAGGGGCGCTTGACTGCAAACAATTTTGGCTCCGTCATCAATGCTAAGAGGGTTACCCCATCCCTTATTAAGCGTCTCTTGGGGGAATATGACATCTCACGTGTCAAAGCTGTGGCATGGGGAGTCACAAATGAGGCTGAAGCCATCAAAACATTTACTGCCAAAACTCATCTTGAAGTTGTTGAGACGGGGGTGTGGCTTGACGAGTCAGGCGTTCTTGGAGCTTCCTCTGATGGATTAGTGGGTGAAGACCATGTTCTAGAGGCGAAGTGTTCCTATACATTCAGAGATGCAAGTATTGAGGAAGCTTTGAAAAGTGACACATTTTGTTTGGAGAAAAAAGAGGATGGATCGTACTCACTAAAAAGGAATCATGTCTACTGGCACCAAGTGCAAGGGCAAATGTACTTAGCCAAACGAAATTACTGTTACTTTGTTGTTTGGACAAATCACTGGTGTGTAATTATTGAAATCAAGAAGGATCCATCCTGGGAAGAAAACCTTACCAGGCTCAGGGAATTTTACTTTAAACACCTCTTCCCCAAAATTGTTAAGGGAGAACTATAGTTTGTAGAATTATTACAAGGTTTAAAACCAGCAGGAAGTTTGTACCATGTTCCCATTAGACAATTTTAATACTGGAACAATAACAAGAACAGCAACCTTCCATGTTCAGTAATGAAAACAAACCCATTTTTATTGAGAATTATCAAATATTCTTGATGTTGTGTTTTCTATAACATTTAAGATTAGAGTTGCATTTGTTTACAGCTGAAAATGCTGGCTTTACTGTATGTGACTTCAGACAAATGCTCTATTATTTTGTTAACATACTATACATTACAAAAATAGAAAATGCACCCTTATTTTCTAAACATAAAGGCCAAATAGATGGGCTAACTCTGACATGTTGGAATTTAAAGTTGATTCTCAAGCTTAAGGAAAACAACAAAAACAATACATCAAGGTTAATTGATTGTCTTAGTCCCCTAAGCATCAAAGCTAATACATATTAATTAAATACTCTCTCAATTTCTCCATTACATGCACATTTTTACTCAAATTCTGCACCTTCACATCCTTTCTTTATCAGTGGAAACTGAAGATTTACAAGGGCAGCACAGACTTGAAATACTTTGTCAGCATAACATCTTAAGTAGGGGGGTACAAAGTTTAGTATCTTAAAATTCTTCAGCCGTGCATTAGCCCTTTGGACATGAATTCTGCATTTTGCAATGTTTTTAGTAGCCCTGGTCTCACTGGCAGTGAATTTTCCATTCTGTAAGAAGGGAGGAATGTTCCCAGAAAAATACAATGTCTTGAATTAAGAACTCCTTGTCTGCAAGGATCAGGTCATCACTTGCTATATGGTTCATTAGGCCAGACTGTTTGACAATTTCCTTATCTGAAATTGATCCTGGATACAGTTTGCTTACATACATTATAACTGCATTGGGTGCCACCCCGACTATAACTTTAAAAGAATTCATGCCTCGGTAGTTTGAATATATTGTATTCTGTTGACTCATAAGACTGGGTGCTGCAATTTCAATGTCTGTACAGTCAATAACTATTCTACAGCTAGTAAACATTGAGAATGATGAAGGAGAGCATAATTTGTTTTTCTCCCTAGAAGGGATATTGGTCATCAAATCATCAAATAAGATATTGTGTAAAACATGAACAAATGTTGTAACTACATTTGAAATGGTAGCAACACTACAAGAGAATAACTGAGCTATGTGGAGATTAGTATAGTTTTGTCTCAGTTTCATGAGGGTGATTAAAATTTGATCTTCAAAACTTATTGACTCCACCCTCCAACCTGTGTAGTATGACAAAGAATCTTTAAATCTAGAGGCATAATTTACTACAATCTGGAAAACCTCTTTTGTTGGTAGTCCAGTTTCCATACGAAGAACATATGTGGTAAGAGTTGATGCAGAATAATGTGTTCTCTGGTACTGTGCAGCTTCTCTCTGCTGCTCAAGTTCCTGTTACGATAAATGCGTCACTTGTCACGTTACCTGTTTCCTTATTTGGACTTAAAATAAAGTTGTTGCTTTTTACTGAATATATAGTATACATGTCATAACATGGTGTCAGAAACGGGATGGATTTTCTGAGCATTCTGTACTTTTTTTGAAAATTAATCGCCGAAGGTACCTTGCTGATACTGTTTCCTTATATTATTCGTAATTTCAAAGAGAATTTTGAGCTCAAAGTGTAGAAAAAAGAACTCAAGATGCCGTCAGATAACGACCACGTGGAGTCGGGCGCGCAAATCGACGTGCCATCAATGGCAGCACCTAACACAGTTCAACCCACCGCCCCAACTTATCCTCAAGTTATTTCTCCAAATTTTCCGCTCACAAGTCCTATGAAGTGTCACGGTGACGTTACTGGCAACTGGGATTTTTTCAAGCAGCAATGGAGTGACTATGAAACAGCAACAGGCCTCGATAAGCGAGAGGAATCGGTCCGTTTAGCGACTTTGCGTTCATCGATGGGCAGAGAGTGTCTTCAGATCTTACTCAACCTAAATCTTCCAGAGGACGATAAGAAGAAAATCGACAAATGTTTAGAAGCTTTAGAAAGCTACTTCAAACCTAGCAGAAATTTGGTTTACGAACGGTATGTTTTTAATACGTGTGTGCAGCAAAGCGAAGAATCTGTCCAAAGTTATGTCACACGTCTGAGAAAATTGGCCGCGTCCTGCGAATACGGTGCACTAACAGATGAGCTTATCAGGGACAGGCTCGTCATTGGTTTAAAGAATCAAGGTGACAAGGTGAGACTCTTGAGAGAAAAATCCTTGGACTTGAAGAAAGCCATACAGATGTGCACTACGAGTGAAATCGCCTCGCAGCAAATCAAGACGATAATAGGCGCTGGAGACAACAAGACAGAAGACGTAAAGAAATTTAGCGAGAAGAAATTTCCCCATAGAAGTCGTAGTAAGAAGAGAGATGGAGGAAGATCGTCAAATTTAGAGAAAAAATTAGAAAAAAAGAAATCCGAAGGTTCTTTCGAACCGACCTGTAAGTATTGTGGTCGTAAACAACGTCATGAAAGAAGAACAGAGTGTCCCGCGTTCAAGAAAACGTGCAACAAGTGTCAAAAAAAGGGCCATTTTGCGTCTGTATGCCGATCATCAAAGAAGATTCAACAATTCGAAGAAGACGAGGATGACAGTCCTGACGAAAGCTGTTTGCAAGTGGAAACTGTGTCTATAGTCCAAACTAAAGCAAAACAGTGGCTTGCAGATATCAGTTTCTTCAAATCAGCTAAAGAAGACTTCACCACAACCTTGGCATGTCAATTAGACACTGGAGCTACATGTAATGTAATTGGCTTGGACGACCTCTCAGCTATCACACAGTTAGGAGACCTACCCATGAACAACTCCTCAGTTAAACTGAAGCTCTTTGGCGGTACAACTTTGAAGCCAGTTGGTGAGTGCGACCTGCATGTCAGACACAATGGCAAACAACAGGTTCTGAAGTTTCAAGTCATAAAACACAAGTGTAAGCCCTTGCTATCAGCTGAAACCTGTGAAAAGTTGCAACTCATCCTCCTAAATGTCAGCGTCCCCGAGAATGTACGTCAGATAAGTGAGACCCTACCACAAACATTTCTGTCAAAGGAAGAACTCTTGAGCAAGTATCATGAAGTTTTCAGTGGATTAGGACATATTGGAGATGTAAAGATTAGGGTTGACCCAAGTTTTAAACCAGTACAACATTCCCCCCGTCGTGTACCAGTTGCACTACAAAAGGAAGTTAAGAACAAGATTCTAGAGTTGGAAGAGAAAGGCATTATTAAGAAAATGGTGGAACCTTCCGAGTGGATCAGCAGTATGGTAGTAGTTGCCAAACCTCAGAAGATTCGAATTTGTCTGGATCCGAAAGACCTCAACCGTGCGATACAACGTCCCAAATTTCAAATGCCAACGTTGGAAGAACTGTTACCAGAGCTCAACAAAGCTAGAATCTTCAGTTCCTTCGATGCAAAAGATGGATTCTATCAAGTTGGCCTTGACCAAGAGAGTAGTAAACTCACAACTTTCTGGACACCCCTAGGAAGATACCGTTACTTAAGGATGCCCTTTGGTATAAGTTTAGCCCCAGAAGTCTTTGAAAGCAGACTACAGGAATGCCTCGCAGACCTGCCTGGTGTGAAAGTTATCAGAGATGATATTCTTGTTGTTTGTTATGGTGAAACCGACTCGAAAGCACGTCTTAATCATGATCAGAATGTGGTTCGCCTACTTGAACGAGCCAAACAAGTCCATCTGAAACTCAACAAGAACAAAGTCAAGCTTCGACAAGCAGAAGTTAAATTCATGGGCCATGTAATTTCAAGGGATGGACTGAAACCGGATCCCGATAAAGTTACTGCCATCAAGAACATGCCGAAGCCAACGACTAAGCCTGAAGTTCTTACCTTGCTTGGTTTTGTCAACTATCTATCTAAATTTCTACCAAGGCTTTCAGATGTGTCAGCACCTTTAAGAGAGCTCACTACTGACCAGTCCAAGTTCACCTGGGCCAAACAGCATGATGAAGCCTTTGCCACTATTCAACGCTTGGTTATTCAACACCCAGTGCTTAAATTCTACAGCATAGAAGAAGAAGTAACTATTCAGACGGACGCCAGTAATAAAGGCCTTGGCGCAGTCCTTCTTCAAAAAGGACAGCCAGTCGCTTACGCGTCCAGAACTCTCTCGCCAACAGAGCAAAGATATGCAACCATAGAGAAAGAATGTCTGGGAATAGTCTTCGCTTGTGAAAGATTCAATCAATATCTAGCACGCAGGGAGCAGATTTTAGTCGAAACTGACCACAAGCCTCTAGAGTCAATAATTAAAAAGTCTCTACTATCAGCTCCATGCCGTCTCCAAAGAATGCTTCTCAGGCTACAACGATTCAACCTGACAGTTAAATACAAACCTGGTTCCCAAATGCTCTTAGCCGACCATTTGTCTAGAGCCGCACAGCATGAAACCTCCAGGCCAGAAGAATCTTTTCAAGTATTTTCCTTAGAGCTGGAGAGCCTAGACCCTTTGCAAGCCCTGAAGGTCACGCCAGAAAGACTGGATCAATTGCAGCGTAGCACAAGTCACGATGACACCTTGCAGACACTGAAAACCACTATTCTGACCGGATGGCCAATGCAGAAAGATCAAGTACCAATCAAGATCCGGGAGTATTGGTCTTACCGCGACGAGCTGACAGTACACAATGGTGTTCTTTTCAAAGGCTCGAGAGTAGTCATCCCCCAGTTACTGAGACCTGAAGTGAAATCCAAAATTCATTCCAGCCATTTAGGAGTAGAGGCTTGCCTACGAAAAGCTAGAGACACTGTATTCTGGCCTAGTATGAATGCAGAAGTGAAAGACCAAATCAAACAATGTTCAATTTGCAACGAATTTCAAGCTAAGAATCAGAAGCTCCCAATGCAAAGCCATGACCTTCCTGACCGCCCGTGGAGTCGAGTCGCTGCTGACCAGTTCACACTTCATGGCAAGGAATATATCGTGCTTGTTGACTTCTATTCGGATTTCTTGGAAGTACAAAAATTGGAGGAAAACACTTCCAGTTCCGTGATTGAATTCTTTAAGGAACAATTCAGCCGACATGGCATTCCAGATACGCTAGCTACAGACAACGCTCCTCAGTTTACAAGCCATGAGTTCCATCAGTTTTCAGTCGATTGGGAGTTTACTCACGTATCTTCTTCCCCGCATCATCACAGATCCAACGGAAAGGCAGAGTCTGCTGTGAAAGTTGTCAAGTCTTTATTCAGGAAAGCTCTTAAAGACAACAAAGATCCATGGTTAGCCCTATTGGACCAACGCAACACACCAACAGAATCCCTAGAAAGTAGCCCTGCACAGAGATTGATGTCTAGACGCACCAGAACCTTACTACCTACAGCTTCTAACCTACTGTACCCCAAGATTCCAGAAAATGTGAATGCAAAGCTGAAGTTGAAAAGGCAAAAGGCTAAGTGGTACCATGATCGCACATCGCGCACCCCACCAGAATTACAAGTTGGGCAAGAGATAAGAGTGGCACCTCTGCAGAGGAATCAAAGCTGGAAAACAGGTACCTGTATTAAGAAACTATCAGACAGGTCCTATATAGTAAAAACCAGTTCAGACAATCAAGTATTCCGTCGAAATCGGGAATTTCTAAAGCCAGCTGCACAACCAACTGAACAAGCCAAACCAATTGAAAGCAGTGACAGCGAGCTTTCAAAGAGTGTTAACCAGCCTTTAAAGCAAGATGCTAATTCAGCTAATCATGAACCAAAGCCAATCTTGACATCACAAACTGTTCCAGTGAAGAAAACTCGTACCAGAGTTGTAAAGCCACCCTCGAGGTTCAGTGACTTTGTTATGTAGTTTATCATATGAAAATTGACTTCAGCTCAGGAGAACTCGAAGTGTTCATATTAAAAAAACTGACTATCGGACAGTCACTTGAATAAGGATTTTCAACTTTTAGTCTTGCACTAAGTTCCGTTTGTTTTGTTCTTTTTTTCAAATGTTATTTTCAGTAATCTGTTCAACTTGAACACATTTATTTATGTTTATATGTTTCTTTCGGAAATTAGCTTACTCCAAAAGAAGGGAGATGTTACGATAAATGCGTCACTTGTCACGTTACCTGTTTCCTTATTTGGACTTAAAATAAAGTTGTTGCTTTTTACTGAATATATAGTACACATGTCATAACAGTTCCCTCTTTGCAAGATAAAGTTCGGCTTCAAGAATAATCTCGCTTGTTAAAGGTTTTTCTTGCAAAGGAAGTGCCTCCTCTTCTTTGGCCCGAATGGCCTGCACCATGTCATGCACACTAGTGCTCTGTGTAGTGCTCTGTTTTTTCCTTTTTCGAGGTAATCTTTCTGATAGAAACAACTTGTCAGCATTACGTGTGTAAATTTCTGGGCCAGCACTATTTTTCCCATCTCTGAAGTGACAACTGCATATTCTGGAGTGATTCCCTGGTTCCCTGTCTTTTCTTCTGTAAGTTTATATAAACAAAATAAGCTCATTAAGTAGTACTAGTTAGTCATTTTAGAGTAGCACTGTGCGACATCTAAAGCTATTACAAACGAGTGCTTTAATATTGTTTATTCTAAATCAGCAACAATGTCGCCCGCCAAAATGAACTAGAACAAAATAAAACTCCTCCTCGTCAAACTGCTAAGGGAAATAATATTTTTTCTCTTTTGAGAAAGCAGTCGTTCGTCATGAACTGTAAACAGTTTCCAACTAAAGCACGAATGAATGAATCTCATGGTAATATATTTATTTTTAGTCTACTGAATTTTTCAAGCATATCATGCGAGTCAACGACTGATCAAAGCTGTTTTCCTTTTCACCAGAACTAATGTAAGGATATTATTTAAGATACTATCGCAAAGACTTTGTGAGATACTACTCCTTGAATGACATCACAGCTCAAAACACAAGCCAAACAGCAAAACGCCGCGAAAGCGCCACGCAACTGATAACACACGATCTACGACAAACTATAAATTAACCTTACCTTATTAATCGAATCCAGCGTTGGTACTCCTCCTTTTTCTTAATTTTATGTGGAAACCCATAGAATTTACAAGTATGTGATTCGGAATGATGGTCACAGCCCGTTGCAAAGCAGTGAACCATCACGATCTTTCACCTCTAACTTCGGCTCTCTGTCTGCTTAGTTGACGATTAAGATCTTCTCTCAAACGAATAAATTTTCGTCTACGTCATCAAAAGTTACACAAAAAACTTACAGTCCACTCAATAAAGGAAGCTATGAAATTAAAGGCCGAAAAACTGAAAAGGAGTCGAAAGCCGCGCTTGTAATGCTACGCTTGACACACTTTGTTTAGAACAGAAAATTTGGTTGCCATGGAAGCGTGACGTCACACTTTAGTCAGCATTAGATTCCATCCACCAAAACCACCTCGGTCGAGAGGGACTGAGAGGGAATGATGGACAACTCATGACTTGTTATACTAAATGAAAATTACGAAGCTACGACAACATGCCGACTTATCCCGATGACCTAAGTGTATTATTTGTTTGGGAAATTGCGTCAAAACCTTTTACTCAAGAAATGGTAAGTATTAATTTATTGTTCGATTGTAGTATTATAAAATATTTTACGCAATTTTGTGCAGATATTTCACGTACTTAAAAGGTGCCCAGATGTTACGTAGTTTTGGTGGATGTCAGTAGGAACATCCACCAAAACTTTGACCAAACCATCAACAATATATTTTTTTATTTTATCTATAGCCACTGTTAGATCTTCAGGGAGACAGAAGATTTATACCACTAATTAGCAGTTAGTGCTCTGGCTAATTATTTTTTATGGTGCACAATTGCTAACCGACCAACGTTCATAATGATTATCATAACTCATAACACATAACATAAAGTGGTTTTGTTGGATGTTTCCCTCCATCCACCAAAACCACCATAGCAATTTCTGCTACTTCCTTTACAGAAGACTGATGTGACCTGCTATTTGGAGTACATAACCACAATCTATTTGTTTGTATCTAGAGATATTTTACATAGTTCTTAAGTCAGCACCTTCTATTATTGAAACCATAATCATAACATGGTGCACAATATAGAATACAAAAGGTTCTGGTGTGGCAATCATGTAATCTTGAAACAGGAGAGTTTTCAACTGACTTAAACTGACTTAAACAGATATTTGCAACAAAATTCCAGATCCAGAAATTATGTCCACTGTTTCTGCAAAAATCATAACCTTTAAGTACAACAAATCAGCACATCAGTAATTGTTATCAGGGGTCTGAAAATCTTATAGGTCTTTCACATTTATTTCAAGTCACCTTTAATTTCACATGGATGAATAAGTATACACTCAAGATGCAGAATGTCTTACATTTTACAAATTATTTCCCTTTTTATGGATGGATGGTAGAAGGCCTTTGCCACATTGGTGAATCAAACCATTGTATACCATGTATTTTGTGATAATTGTTAGTTTTTGCTCACAATATCCAAAACAATGGAGGGGATAAATTTAAATAGCAAATTCTATTAATGGTTAATACTTGATTAAACTTGAAGCTAAAGCAAAGTTTAAGTTGAGCCATAGCTGATCCAAATACTGAGCACTTTATATTGTAACCCATTTAGCAGTAAAGTTTATCTATATGTCTGCCAGCTTGTCACAAGTCTTACCCCTCTCCTCCAAAAGTCTCTGTAAACAAATTATTCTTTGTGGTCCCAAATTGATGATAAGTATATTACAGCTCCTCGATTTCCCTCTCTCAAGACAAGGTTACTTTAAATTTAACAAAGTAATGGACTTGATAAAACTCAAACTATAACTCAGCTGGCTGCTACTCGCAACCCTAATTTCTTGATATCAGTATACAATAATCAATATCTTATAAATAAGAACCCTAATGCTTAATTTTGCAGTGATCACCTTTCTCCTTTTAATTTTCAGACCAGACTGGAACCTCCATAGGTGTGTTTGCTTGTTTTGAGTGGGGATGGAAGAAAAGGAATCATGCCACATATCTGATTTATTAAACCAGATTTGTTCTGTTTATACATGGGTAGAACTACCTTGTTCTTTAAAAAAAAAAAAATTTCTCACATTTTTATCTGTGCTTTGCAGTCAAACTTCCTCGTGTCTTAAACAAGAAATCCTATTTTCTTGAATTACAATCTTTGTTTCTGGCCTTCTGTAATAGGTAAATATAACAGTGTAAGATGAGGGATAGTGTATTTCTCAAGTTATTTTTTGGAATGCAACAAAACGGAAGTGTTGTAGCATGATAAGGAGCCTACTTATGATTGCTTGATAGAAAGCAAAAAACGCAGAATTGCATATATTTTCTCCTTTGTCAGCAGCATATGTTAGTGAAAAGTTCTTATAATTGTTAACTTCTAAACCATCTTCAATTTAGCCAAGATTGAACTGTTATCACGTTTGTCATAAAAGTATTCTGAGATCATTGTCATATGACCCATTCATGTGTGTATTTGACCTTTAGAATTAGCAAGCCATAGTTGACAGTAACACAAAGGTTGAAGATAAAAAGAAAATATTATATACAATACTTCTTCTGCATCTTTTCGTTTCCTTTTCTCTCCAGCTGTTCTATCTATGCCGTACTGGCAATTGAACACTTTCCTTCCCAAAATTAGGAAAGGCACACCAGTAAAAAACAAATTTTTGCTCTTAAATATCTCGTGCATCTTCCCAGAGTATTTTGTGACTTCTGTCCGAGGAAGGAGGTGTAAGCATTAAGATAAACCAAATGATTCCACAATTGTGGTATCATCCAAGCCATGCCAGAGGACTTGAACTAGAAAAGTGGTAAGAATGCACAATAGCGATAGCAAAGCTTTGTAATGCCTAAGAGCTATATCTATCTATATATATATATATATATATATAACTAACTGCAGACAGTACTGTTTTGGCCTTCTGGGCCTCATCAGTGCAGTGCTGATGCTAGGATGGAGGTAAGGCTATATAGCCACCCCAAGTGATCTCACACGTGTGGTATCATCTAAGCCATGCCAGAGTGCTCAAACTAGATAAACTAGTGAGCATGCATAATGCTAGCAGCAATGACTCATCCTAGTAGAGTGCTCAATTTGAACATGAAAGCAAAGCTTTGTATGCCAAAGAGCTATATATACACCAGTGTTCCCGAAACCTTTGTCAGCTTTACAGAAAGAAAACTTCGTCGTCAATCCTGTTTCAAATTCCTCAATAAGCTTATGCGCCTCATCAACAGAATTGACATATCCTAAATTATTAGCATGTCAACCATCAAGCAAGGGTTCGCGCTTTAAAATTCTAGCCATGCTGTTTCTGTTTGTGCCTCAAGGGCACAAACAGAAACAGCAGGTGGTTTCGAGGGACCGAGGTGGTTTTGGTGGATGGAATCTAATGCTGACCGAGATCATGTTGCGCTGACCAGAGCCTATAGCATTAGATTCCATCCACCAAAACCACCTCGGCCGAGAGGGACTGAGATGGAATATCTAATAACTTGCAAAACATAACCGAAGATTCTCGGAAATCCGCAAGTGATGTAGCCGAACATCCGAAGCTGTAAATCCCATGATTCTTGAGGAACAAACAGAAACAGCATGGCGAGAATTTTAAAGCGCGAACCTTTGCTTGATGTTAGACATGCGGATAATTTAGGATACGTTTATTCTGTTGATGAGGCGCATAAACTTATTGCGGAATTTGAAACAGGATTTACGACGAAGTTTTCTTTCTTTAAAGCTGACAAAGGTTTTGGGAACACTGGTGTATATATGTATATTGATATAGTTCTTTGGCATTACAAGGCTTTGCTATCGCTATTGTGCATTCTCACTAGTTTATCTAGTTCAATTCCTCTGGCATGGCTTGGATGATACCACAATTGTGGAATCATTCGGGTTATCTTAATGCTTACCTCCTTCCTCGGACAGAAGTCATAAAATACTCTGGGAAGATGCATGAGTTATTTAAGGAGCAAAAATTCATTTTTTACTGGTGTGCCATTCCTAATTTTGGGAAGGAAAGTGTTCAATTGCCGGCACGGCCTAGATAGAACAGCCGGAGAGAAAAGGAAACGTACTATACGTAATATACTTATCATCAATTAGGGACCACAAAGAAAAATTTATTTATAGAGACTTTTGAAGGAGAGGGGTAAGACTTGTGACAAGCTGGCAGACATATAGATAAACTTTACTGCTAAATGGGTTACAATACAAAGTGCTCAGTATTTGGATCAGCTATGGCTCAACTTAAACTTTGCTTTAGCTTCAAGTTTAATCCTTTGTGGTTTCCTTTCTCTGTGTTTATTTTTCACGTTATGTACACAGAAGAACACAAAAATGACAAGGAATGCTTTTGAATATTAAGAGGCTGGAATAAGCAAGAAACCAAAACTGAATTTTAAACAGTACAAAGTTAATTTGATCTTCCAATGTTATTTAATTTTAACCATTAATAGAATTTGCTATTTAAATTTATCCCCTCCATTTTTCTGGATATTGTGAGCAAAAACAAACAATTATCACAAAATGCATGGTATACAATGGTTTGATTCACCAATGTGGCAAAGGCCTTTCACTGTTTATCCATAAAAAGGGAAATAGTTTGTAAAATGTAAGACATTCTGCATCTTGTGTGCATACTTATTCATCCATGTGAAATTAAAGGTTACTTGAAATAAATGTGAAAGATTTATAGGATTTTCAGATCCCTGATAACAATTACTAATGTGCTGATTTGCTGTACTTAAAGGTTATGATTTTAGCGGAAATAGTGGAAGAAATTTCTGGACCTGGAATTTTGTTGCAAATGTCTGTTTATATCAGTTTAAGTCAGTTAAAAACTCTCCTGTTTCAAGATTACATGATTACCACACCAGAACCTTCTGTATTCTATATTGTGCACCATGTTATGATTATGGTTTCAATAATAGAAGGTGCTGACTCAAGAACTTTCCAAAATATCTCTACATACAAAGAAATAAATTGTGGTTATGTACTCCAAATAGCAGGTCACATCAGTCTTCTGTAAGGAAGTAGCAGAAATTGCTATGGTGGTTTTGGTGGATGGAGAGAAACATCCACCAAAACCACTTTATTCTATGTGTTAAGAGTTC